CGCTGGCAGAACTGGGCATTGCACCTTATAAAATTTCAAGGTCTTAAGCTTCTGACTTGAAGATGGTCTTCATTCCTATTTCAAACAAAGAATACTTGTGAGTTCAAAACATGATGGTTAGTTTGTGTCCTTGGCTTCGAGGACAATTTCTCTTGTACTTGTCATGATCAACTTGGAGGGATTATACTCATTGTTGGGCTGCTGGATTATTGATCAAACTCCAATCACCGGAGGTACCATATAATGACATAAACCCCCTATCACTCACATATATGTTGCATTATGCTCATCGTCCAACAATTGTTGCACCTTCATATTTACCGTGAATTCAGGATGTTCCTTGATCAACTAAATTTAGCTTCTTACTTCATATTCCTCCTTCTTGAATCACGTCACCTTTGATGTGCTAGCTAGAATTTGCTTTGTGCAGCTGGCAAGCTGGTAGCATATTTTGAAGTCTTTTCTTACTTGTTTCGACTCGTACTAACCCAAAAGGACTTGCATAAGTAAAAGCAAAAGAACAAAGCGATTAGACTTTGAAGTAGATAGAATAAATACTTAAACAGTAATGCCATTTATGGAGGAGTAAAAAGGAATAATCTTATTTTAGAGGGGTAGCCAACTCCAATGATCATGACATATATTTTGGGCTGATGAGCCTAATCTATCCAACTAATCGAACCTCAAATCGCGTCATTCCTTCATACTTTAATCGGTCTTCAATGATCCAACTTCTCTGTAAAATTCATACTCCTCACTCGACTTGTAGTGCCTCAAAGGGTTTTCACCATCAAGCCTCTCTCATTTTGTTTTTGTCTCAACTCACTAGTGCCTTATGGTGCCCGTGAGGGTTTTCACCAATAAGACTCTCATTTTTATCATTTTCTCTCCTTGTGCTGAGAACAAGGTATTACCCATGATGCAAGAAGATCATATATTTACCACACGCTTGACTTGGCATCCTTAAAGATTGATCGGAAGGTCATTCTTTGGATCGTAATGTAGGTGATAATAGGCTAAATTGTATAGTTTGGTCTACGTTCGGGCTCTAACTTACGGGTGCTTTATTGTTTTAAGTGTGTAAATAATGCAAAAATTGGCTCTAATGGTGACTTTTGTGTTTCACAGGAGTACACTACTCAAATGAAGACTTATGATGGTGATCCGGGCAAACATTGGAACTAGTGGACGAATGATGGGAATGAAGCTCAGCATGGCAGAGGGAAACCCCACTAGCGCGGGCACTAGCGCGGCCTTAGCACGCTCGCGCTAGTCCAGTCATCAGAAGCCGAATATAACCCCATTAGCGCGGGCATTAGCGCAGCCTTAGCGCGCCCACGCTAGTCCAGATGCGGGAAAAGTATTGGAAAGGGCGATTTTGGAAGTCCAAAGCAAAAAACCACACAAACTATAAAAGGTTTAATGCGTTCAAGAGAAGGAGCATCAGTTTTTGGGGTTGGACATAATTTAGACCTAAAGAGGAGACCAATTTTTGATAGAAATTCGACCTAAGGAGTCAAGAACACACTGGGAGCAAGGCGGAGAATTCTTCAACGAGTTTTTCCTTCCTCTTCCTATTTTTCATTGTTGGTTATGATTTTTAGTACTGTAGTTTTACATACTATTATGAATAGCTAATTCATTTTCTAGGGTTTTGATGGAACCTTTTGTAGGATAAATACTTGTTATGTTTTTATATAATTGAGCCGTTGGATTTCTCTACTTGTTCAACTACGTGTTTATTGTTGTTGATTGAATGGCCATCGATTGACTGTGCCTATTTATTATGTGTTTCTTGAGAAAGGATACATATTTAGGTGGTTGTTGAACAACGTCACTCCTAACGTATGTGAGAAATCAATACAACGGGTTTAAAGGTAGGTTTAGAAATAACAAAGCTTTGACGTGGTCATAATGAGCGGTTAGATAAAGCCAACTAGCGTAGTTCGAGAGAATATGTCTAGTAAATTGTTGTAGTTGCTCGAGAGAGAATTACGGCACCTAAAGTGCTCACGATCAGTAGAGAATACATTGGCGAAAATTGTAGGGAACATAGCTAGAAGAATTCCGACAATTAGGGAAATCATAACTCTAGACCTCCTTAATTTAGTCTCCAACCCTTTGTCTCATTAGTTGATAATTTTACTGCCTTGTAGTATTTGCAAGTTAATTAGTTCGAAATATAAATCGCAATCTTTATAATTTAGAAAATTGTTCAATCTTGTCTTCTTGGTGATATTAAATAGATACAGCTAAGCCTTAGTTCTCTGTGGGATTCGACTCCGGACTTTTAGACCGAATTATTTTTGCAGCGACCGCTTATCCTTTTTAGGACTAGAGTTGGGCGTGATCAGTAGGCTTTTGGACAAGGTTAGAAAGAAAGGATAGCATGAAGGCTCAAAACAACTAAGACGAAAGGGTTTAAATTTACAACTTTTGGAATCAGATCATTTTGAAAAACTAACTCTTCTATCCTAGTTTCATCGAGTCTAGGGAATTTTGAATTTTATTTCGATGGGACCGAACCTTAGAGTAAGGCTGTCTACGTATCCTTTAAAGGAATCAGGTCGAACATAATTAAAAAATACTTTTTATTGTTGTATTTTTTCCTTTTTCTTCCTTTTCCTTTTGTTTTTTCCTCTTCTTTTTCTTCCTTTTTTTCCTTCTTTTTTTCCCTTTTTTCTTTCTTTTTATATTTTTTCTTTTCATTTTACTACTTTTTTCTAACTCAATTCCTAATTCCTAAAGAGGGGTATGAAAAAAAGTAAACTACAGCTCAAAAGGGGTAGCAAACGATAAAATGTGTATAGATAGCAGAATAAAATGCCTTCGTCATACCTAACTTTGAAAATCTCAAGTACAAAGCATGCGATTGAAGATAAGCAAATGAACAAACATAATATCTTTTGACAGCATCAACACAAATAAAAAGTAGCAATGGGCAACACCATTGTACCATGAATGATCCTTGCCAGCTCGAAGAGGGCCCGACTCAACTTTATCTTGTTGTGGAATGATGCATTTCAACACTGGCTGGTATACCTCAAATTTCTTGAGAAACATCTCCTTGTTGTATTTCTCTTATCAGCCTCTTAACTTCCAATACTAACCACCTTAGTTCCACTCAATTCAAGCTTCAGGTTATCATAGAATGCATGAATCTTTACTTGTTCTCCTCAAAAACATCTTCTTTATCATATTCAAAATCATGTCACGTTATTCCATGATTAGACTAGCTTTCAAGATCTGGCTAAAAACATCGCAAGCGTTTCATGTCACTAGAACTAACGTGAAAAGAATTATATATAAGAAAAAACTAAACAAACAGACTAGAAATAACAGAAGACGAAACCTCATTTGACCATAGGATAGAAGGGTTTGAACATCAAAATAAGCAGAATAAATTTTGGGTTAAAACCCTAAAACAACCCAGTTGAAAGACCTAAAGACACAAAACTAACTAGCAAGACTCGTTGGGATGGGCAAAATAAGGATAGAAGGGTTTGAAGTACCAAAACAAACACGATGAAATCTAGATTACAACCCCGGAATAACCTAGATAGCAGAAAAGATGACAAAGTAAGCTATCGGGACTCCTTCCTGACGAGGAAAGTAGCTGCTCACTAAAATGCAATGAAATGACCAAGCTTGACTCAAGATGCCTACCTATCCAAAGCGGAATTAGGTTGGAACGTAGTTCAATTACAACAGATGGAAGATGATGAGATTAAGAGACAAAAAATTGCTGAGTCTAACTCAGACAACCTACATATCCAAGTGGAACTAGGCCAGAACATAGTTAAATTACAAAAGATGACTGAATCCAATGAGGATTGCCTACGTATTTCCTTCTGAGGAAATCAAGTTGGCGTAGTTCCTGAGCAACATACAAAAAATAATTTTGGTTTTCTATTACAAAATAAAGGGGAGAGAAAACCAAACCCTAAGTGGGTTGCTTTACATATCCCTCCGTGGGAAGTCAGGTTGAACGTAGTTTTGTTACATCAAAATCCTAACTCTATCTATCTTCATGTGTAATATCTATTGATTTCATCCAAGTTGGTTGGCTTAGTTCTGACTCTTCCATCCATTTCTGCTAAGATTAGAGCTCCACCAGATAGTGATTGTGAATCGCGTAAGGTCCTTGCCAGCTTGGTGCAAACTTCCCTTTAGATTCTTCATTATGGGGAAAGATTTTCTTCAGAACCAACTGCCCCGGTGTGAATTGGCGAGGCTTCACTCTTTTGTTAAATGCACTAGCAATCCTGTTCGGGTATAGTTGTGCATGACATACTGCATCCATTCTTTTCTCATCAATGAGCATGAGCTGCTCTTGCCTGACCCGTATCCACTCTGCGTCGTCTAATTTTACTTCTTGAATGACTCTTAAGGACGGTATTTTGACTTCTGCGGAGTGCTTTAGTGATGTATACCAACATGTACGGCGTTGCCTCCATAGATATTCTCATTGTAGTCCGGTAACCTAATAGAGCAAAGGGTAACTTCTCGTGTCATTGTCTGTGATTGTCCACTATTTTTTGCATAATCCTCTTGATATTCTTGTTAGCTTCCTCGATTGCCCCATTCATTTGTTGTCTATAGGGTGTGGAATTGCGGTGGACAATTCTGAACTTCTCGCAGATTTCCCTCATGACGTCTCTATTGAGATTAGCAGCATTGTTAGTGATGATAGATTCTGGTATCCCAAATCTGCAAATGATGTTATTCCAGACAAAACCTGCTATTACCTTCTTTATGAAAGCCTTGTAAGTAGATGCCTCGACCCATTTGGTGAAGTAATCGATGGCTACCAAAATAAAACAATATCTGTTTAACGATGCAGGCTCTATGGGTCTTATCACATCCATTCCCCAGGCAGCGAAAGGCCAGGGTGAACCCATTACATTTAACTCGTTTGGTGGAACCCGGATGAAATCTCCGTGAATCTAGCACTGGTGACGTTTCCGCACATAGCGGATGTTGTCGCTTATCCATAGTCATCAAAGGTATCCAGCTCTCAAAATTTTCTTGGCTAATGTGAACCCATCCATATGGGGTCCGCACATCCCTGCATGTATTTTTTCCAACAGTCTGGTTTCTTTGGTGGTGTCTACACATCTTAGAAAACCTAAGTCTGGGATCCTCCTATACAAGACTTCGCCGTTGAGGAAAAGGTGGTTTGTCAACCTCCTGAGGGCTCGCTTTTGACCATTAATCGCATTTTCTAGGTACTCCTGGGTCGCAAGGAACCTCTTGATGTCGTGATACCAAGGTTTACCATCTGTCTCTTCATTCACATGGAAGCAATAGGCATGTTGATTCATGATTTCTACCTCGATGGGATTGATGTAGTTCTTATCTGGATGCTGAATCATGGATGACAAAGTTGCAAGGGCATCTTCGAACTCGTTCTGAATTCTGGGGATATGCCTGAACTCTAACTTCGTGAAATTCTTGCACAACATCTTCATGCAGTGCAGGTATAGCAGTATCTTGACTTTTTTTACTGACCATTCTCCTTGGACTTGGTGGATCAACAATCAAAATCTCCTATGACCAAAAGTTCTTTGATGCTCATGTCGATTTCCATTTTGATTCCAAGGATGCATGACTCGTATTCAGCCATATTATTAGTACACGGGAATCTTATCTTTGCCAATGCTGGATAGTGTTGTCCAAATTTTGAAATCAGTACTACCTCAATCCAGACTCCTTTGAAGTTTGTTGCTCCATCAAAAAACATCTTCCATCCAGGGTATAATTCTGCGATATCCTCCCCAGCAAATAGTACTTCTTCGTCAGGGAAATACGTGGTAAGTGGTTCGCAATCCCCATCCACTGGATTCTCGGTGAGGTGGTTGGCAGAATGTTGTCCTTTGATAGCCTTCTGAGTTATGTAAACGATGTTGAATTCACTGAGGAAAATTTGCCACTTAGCTAACTTCCCGGTAGGCATCTGCTTCTGAAAAATGTACATGAGCGGGTAGATCCAAGATATCAGGTGCGTGGTGTATGCCAACATGTAATGCCTTAGCTTCTGAGCAATCTAATTCAGAGCATGACAAGTGCGTTCTATCAAAGTATACTTGGCCTCGCATGGTGTGAATTTCTTGCTTAAGTAGTAGATAGCATGTTCCTTTCTCCCAGTTTTGTCGTGTTGCCCCAACACACAGCCGAAGGCATTTTCCAAGACTGAAAAATAGAGAAACATGGTTTCCCTAGTTCAGGAGGAACCAGCACTGGTAGATTTGAAAGATACTCTTTGATTCTGTCAAAGGCTTTCTAGCACTCCTCCGTCCATTTCGTGGAAGCATCCTTCTTTAATAGTTTGAAGATGGGTTCACAGATTACTGTGGACTGGGCTATAAAGAGACTGATGTAATTTAATCTTCCCAAGAAACTCATGACATATTTCTTGCTCTTTGGTAGTGTTAATTCCTGGATGTCTTTGATTTTTGATGGGTCCAATTATATCCCTTTCCTTCTTACAATAAACCCAATAGTTTTCCAGCGGGGACTCCAAACGCTCACTTTGCTGGATTATGCTTCAAATCATACCTTCGTAGGCATTCGGAAAACTTCCTCGGGTCATCCAAGTGCTCTGAACTCTTTCGAGGTTTTATGATGACATCATCCACATACACTTCGATCTCCTTATGAATCACGTCATGAAATAGGGTCGTCATGGCCCTTATGCAGGTGGCACCAGCATTCTTAAGACCGAACGGCGTGACTCTATAACAGTAGACTCTCCAAGGAGTGGTGAAAGTTGTTTTCTCTATGTCTTCCTCGTGCATTAGGATTTGATGGTATCCAGCAAAACAATCTACAAATGACTACAGTTCATGTTTCGCACAATTGTCGAAGAGGATGTGATATTTGGCAAGGGGAAATCGTCCTTTGGGCTAGCTTTATTGAGATCCCGGCAATCCACACATATTCGGATCTTTCCGTCCTTTTTGGGCACTGGGACGATGTTTTCCAACCAGCTTGAATAGTTGGTGACCCTTACTACATTTGCCTGTATCTGTTTGGTCACCTCTTCTTTTATTCTCGGACTTAAATCTGGTTTGAACTTCCTAGGATTCTGCTTGGCTGGCGGTCTGGTTGCTAGTGGGTAGTCGATGCGAGACAATGTCCGTGCTTAATCCTAGCATGTCATCATAGGACCAGGCGACCACGTCGACGTACTATCGGAGGAACTCAATCATTTTTTCCTTCTGCTCAGCTTCTAGGTGAATGGTGATTCTGGTTTCTTTCACGTCTTGTTCGCTTCCAAGATTGACTACTTTCGTTTCTTCAAGGTTGGGATTCTTTTGAATCTCCAGCTATTCAATCTCCTGCGGGAGATCCTCTAGCATTTTACTCTCATCATATTCTTCGTAATTCGAATCATTACGCTTAGCGGTTTAGTTACATGTCATAGTCGCGGAACGCGATTTTTTATCGGTTTGATTACTGAAAGGAAAAGCTAGGTATAAATAAAGTACTAAAATAAATTGGAGATTTAGGAAAAAGATCTTTTTGCTTCAGCAAAAGGGAACTTCTTAAGCGTTTGCAAGAGGCAAATGACAAAAAGGTATAGACACGGTACAAGCCTCAATTGACCGTGATCTTTCAAAAAGAAAACTTTTACAGCTCCATACTATCAAGACTCCCGGCGAACCAAAGATGGACTGGATGTCCAATTCTGCAGCTCTTCCCCTGGTTCAGCATCCCTGATAGTTGGTGTCTTGATGTCAGTTCCTTCACAGCATTCTTCAATCATATTCACGAATAGCTTTCACATCCCGTCGATGATATCATCTTCGGGTGTTGAACTCTGTTCGGGACTTGAAACATGCTCTGGCACAAAAACCTTTTTCCAATAGCTAACGACACGAGTTTTCCCTTGTAAAGGCTTATATCCTATATCAGCCCTTCCTTTCTACCCATTGTGTTCCATTGACTCTATGATCCCATCTGACTTGGCTCCCAACCCTGTTCCTAGCTTATATCCATATTTCATCATCTCTGTCATGGCCATCTTGGATCTGTACAGCGATTGCACTCCTAGATTCTGTTGGGTCTTCTCCTCTTTAGTAGTCTGCATGATTTCTACAGCATGGAAAGCAACTCTATCTAGCCCCTCAATGAATGGGACAACATATTCCAAATAGGCGGAGTGACCCCACTCGCCGTGGACCACGATCTCTTGGAATCCCCACTCGAATTTTATGCATTGGTACAAGGTAATAGCATGGTCCTTGCCATATTATCCAGGGCCTGCCTAGCAGCAAATTGTAAGAAGAGAAAATGTGCATCACTTGAAATAATACAGGAAAGTCGACCGGCCTGATCTAAAAGGCTAGATATATTTTCCCAATAACATCCTTTTGTGAACTGTCAAAGGACCTCACCCTTACGTGGCTTTCCTTGACCGCCCTCAAATGAATTCCCAATTCCCGCAGGGTGGAGAGCAGGAAAATATTGACTCGTGATCCTCCATCGACCAGCACTCGAGATACCACTTTGTCCCTGCATTTGACAGTGATGTAGAGAGCCTTGTTGTAGCTTGCGCTCGACAGGAAGTTCGACTCTTCTGCATGTGATCATGTTAGCTTCAACAATTTTCCGGATTGTCACGGCCAATGCCTCACTGGTGGTGTTACTTGGTATGCTTACCCAGCTTAGTACTTCCCTTAGGATTTGGTATTGTTTGATATATGAGCGCTATGTACGCGAAGTGACGAGTACGTACACGGGCTACTTGTTGTAAAACTCCGTTTTCCCTAAATAATAACCTGTTTTTCCTTATTTGAACTACACTAGCATATGTAGTTATCCTGTTTAGTCTAGATTAGCATGCCTAAGTGTTCTAAATGCCTATCTGAACTCTGTGCAGCATGCTTAGTGAATTTACCTGCTTTTCCTTGGCTTGAACTTAGTCAAAATTGTAGCTTTTCTTGTTGTATCTGCTATTTATGTTGGTTGAGCTACATATTAACTTTGGGACTACAGAACGGTATTCCGGGAGATCCCCCTGTACTGCATATTTATTTTGGGATTACGGAACGGTATTCCGAGAGATCCACCAGCACTGCCTATTTACTTTGGGACTACAGAACGGTATTCCGGGAGATCCCCCTGCACATTAACGGTTGGGACTACGGGACGGTATCTCGGAAGATCCCATGTTGCTATCACTGTGTACCGAGATGTTGTCTTTCATTGAACTCTATTCCTATTATATTTCCGTATTTATTTTTACAATAATAATTCAATCTGTCTTATTACATTATATTTACACCAGTAGGGCCCTGACCTGATCTCGTCACTACTCGATCGAGGTTAGGCTTAGCACTTACTGGGTACCGTTGTGGTGTACTCATGCCCTTTCCTGCATATGTTTTTCGTGTGCAGATCCAGGTTCATCTTACCAGCCTCATCACTATTTGCAGTTGCTACTGCTTACCGGAGACTTCAAGGTACATCTGTCCGCGCCCGCAGATCCTCAGAGTCTCCCTCTGTCACGCCCCAAACTAAGGGAGGCACGACTGGCACTCGATACTGTATTCGATCGAGTTAACCACTAAACATACTGGCTAACTAAACTGGGGGCCCAATAGATCGGGCAGCACAACATCTGAAATACTAAGCCTGGACCATTAAGGTCATGACCTGAATAACAATAAGCCATATAAACAAAGGTAGATGAGCTAAAATAATAAAGTACTAGCTGGCCGACGAGGCCGCAATTTGAGACATACATGCCTACACACATATATATACATGCCAAGCCTATGGGCTGGAGATTGAAAGCTGAAAAAAAAAAAGAAACCCCGAATACTGTGTCCACAATTGCCTCTAAAAGTGTCATAAGCACTGTCTGGATAAGGCCCCGGCTATACCCAAACTGTACAACAAAAGTAACCATCCAATGATAGCTCCAGGAAGAGGTGGAACTTACCAACTCACAGTTGAACCCCGAAATCCTAGCGGAGGGGTCGATCAGAGTCCCTGCCTGGACCTGCACGCACGAAACAAAAATGCAGTGTCCCCAGGCAACGGGACATCAGTACGAATAAAATGTACTAGTATGTAAGGCAGAAAGTAGAATCATACATGGCTAATGAAAAAAAAGGTAATAGAGATACCATCTGACACTGAAACTCTGATAGCCTCCATGGCCGACATCCGACCTCATAGTAATCAAATATGCATGGTATGCTCGTGTAATCGTATGTCGTGAATACATATATATTGATGCAAATGCATGACATACCCAACCAAATGCTAGCAATGGCGGTCTCTTTCGGTAGCTAACCGGTAACATATTGCCAACCTATGGCCATCTGTACAATACATATAGTCTTTCGGGCAAATAGGCCCCTTACCTCCGATTATAGCTTGATGTCCATGCATAATATGCCATGTATGATATGAACTTTGAATGCACATAATAGGCCATAACAAGAACTTAGCC